CCCGCCCCTCCTCCCTGGGGGCTTGTAAGCTAGGGAAGAGGACGAAGAGATGAAGAGGACAAAGCACGCTCATCTTCGAATGTACTTATTCTTGCACTCGGATGTGAAATCCCTGCAACTTTGGAACCACATTTGAAGCAAAATTTGCCTCCAGGGTTCACGACGAGTACGAGTCGAACAAAACTCCGCCATTTTGGATGGGGCAAACCGCTGTTAGTAGCAGACTGCTGGCGCAAGTAACACGTGACAAAATAATTTTTTGGATTTGCAAAATATTTTTCAGGATTTAGCGACAATTCTCGGATTTGTAAACTTATTTCGGATTTACAAAATAATATTTGTGGATTCAATAATTTTATTAGGATTTGTAATAGTTTTTCAGATTTGATAAACTCTTCAACGATGATTTCCAAAAGACATTACGATTTGAAATATTTTTTTCGGATTTTAAAAACATTTTTTCGGATTTCGTTAATATTTTGGGATTGTCCCTTATCGGCTTCCGTATATACGTAACTAATCAGCCGATCAATTTTCGTGAACTTTGTTTCCCTGATAAACTCGTGTTGCAAACCGTCAGTTGAAAAATTAGCCTCCTTAGCGGTTTGTCACGCGTTCCTGCCCCACTGGCAGGAACGCGTGACGAACCCCTACTAAGTGAAAAAGTTTTAATTGTCTCCTGTTACAACGTCTGCGTGGGAGGCTATTGAAAAATACGACTGATTCTCACGACGTTCGTGTCGTGACTGGGTTTTTCGGTTTTACAGCGTACACTCATGCTGACTGGACCGCTGTAATAATAATAATAATAATAATAATAATAATAATAATAATAATAATAAACCAATCTTTATTTCAGTATCTGAACAATAGGTAATATTTACAATTTTAAACATCGTGTTGTTTACAAATTAAAAGCGAAATATATGTCCACGATAGAAAAACTATTTACAATTGTGAATAATTAAAAAAAAATAGTTCGCTCAGCTTTGTAAAATCAAGCAACTGTTCAAGGCAAGTGTAAAAAAAAAAACTATAAAATAAAATAAAATAAGAATAAACAAATAAATAAAATAAAAATAAACAATGCGAATTGGGACCTCGCTTTCGTCGCGCCTCTTTCATCATTATTTTACGGTATCGTCGCGGTTTTTTTGCAACGATGTCATCACTTGCATATCAAGAATAGGTGTGACGGATCGGAAACGAGGAAATCAAAACAGCAATTAGAGTTAATAAGCAAGCCAGACAAAACATGACAGAAACTTTGAACCTACATCACATTTTTTCTCGGTAGAGCGCTTTTTTTAATAGGACTAACAATGCGATCGTCGATTTAAAGTTTAAGATCATCGTTTCATCAATAGCGATCGTCGCAACTTCGATGCAGGAATTACCCATGTCATAATCAAGTAATAATATCATCGCGGTTTTTTTGCAACGATGTCGTCACTTGCATATCAAGAATAGGTGTGACGGATCGGAAACGAGGAAATCAAAACAGCAATTAGAGTTAATAAGTAAGCCAGACAAAACATGACAGAAACTTTGAACCTACATCACATTTTTTCTCGGTAGAGCGCTTTTTTTTAATAGGACTAACAATGCGATCGTCGATTTAAAGTTTAAGATCATCGTTTCATCAGGGGCACCCAACAGCAATTCTCGGGAAAATATCTGTTCGGAAGACGATTTGAGAACTAGAATTTTCGGAACATTTGTTGTAAAATTTCTTGCTTGCCTGCCTCTCCTAGGATTTTCGAACATCTACAAAGTGGTATAATTACCCATTTTAAACGGATATTTACCCTAAAAAAGGCCACCTAGAATTTTCGGGAGCCTTTTCCTGGCTGAAATTTTCGAAAAGGTAAATTTTGATCCCTACAATTTTCGGATCACTAGACTTTCAACTAGGAAATCCGAACAGATGAAAAGTTTTTAGGGGATAAAAATATGCCTATATCTACCGTTTAAATACTAAAATACGTTCAACAATGCTATGTTAAGTGGTTTTGAACTATATCCTCGTTGGGTGCCCCTGTTTCATCAATAGCGATCGTCGCAACTTCGATGCAGGAATTACCCATGTCTTAATCAAGTAATAATATCAGTTATTTCTGACCTGAATACAACGCTTGATTTTAGTGAGAAAAGCTCAACGGTGCCTTACATGGTCCGGCTGGTAATTTACGAAGGAAAACAAAATGATTACTTAGAAATGTGCTTTTTTTATGCAGTGCTAGGTTGGGCATACACTGTATATCACGCAGAGGAATTAGCTGAGTTTAGTATTTCATTTTCATAACGTTATAAGTATTTCTCCTCATAATTTCCGTTTTCATAACATCAAAACCATCGGCATCTGGCAAACTTGGTACATTTACTACGACGGAATTCGTCAAACTTTCTTTAAAAAAATTCTGACAGAAATACTCTCGCGTGATTAGCGGTTAAGGTGCATAAAGTGTTGAAAAAAATGACAAAGTGGTATGTTAATGTAAAATATCCAAAACAATATATTTTCTTTTAAAAAGGCATCACTTTGACAACTAATGCTGCATCTGCCCTCGCCAACCGGAAACTTGTTTAGGAAAAGCTTGAACATCTCTTACAAATGAAAATTGACGGAGACCCCAACTTTGCGACCCCCTTTGCCCTTGCGCAATATTGACATACTTCGGGGCTAATCAATCCGGGTTTTGCGTGGTAAAAAATATATTTCAAGAACCGTGCTGAATTGATCTGATGTCATTGATGAGTTTCAAAATAGCGGAAATATCTCGAATGGTGTAGGCAATTTTATGCAGAACATGTCGCACAGGGCTTATGGTTGACGTAACGGGCGTAGATAGAAATTGGCTTCTGATTGGCTGCGGTTAACACACCTATGTTCAATGGTTTCCTCTAGAATTGCATGTAGATGTTGTCCCTCGAGCCAAAAGTAACGCACTGTGGTCTCCATTGTTAAATCCAAAGAAGGTTAATTTATTCGAAGAAATAATTGTCGAAGTTATTTATTTCTTTCATCTCTCGTAAAGTTCAGTTTTTAAACAAAGGAAACGAAGAAGCGAAGACTCGTCTCCGCCGCATTGTTGACAATTTTTTTTCAACATGGCGTCGCAGCTGGATTGTCGATGCGTTTGGCGCGGTTTAGTTTGGAGCGCCCTCTTTTATACTTCATTTCTCTTGACGGCTCCAGGTATGTTAAATTTCCCTCTAACTTCAAGTATTTTTCAATGAGTTCATTTAAACTTGGGGAAATTTGATGAAGTGACGATGACCAAACCGAGATTTAGCGGCCTTCAAAATAAGCTTAATGTTACTTACTAGTATGTCATTGTGCCAGCGTTTTAGGGGCGAAACATAATTCTTTTTGTCTCTCACTGAGTTACCGTTGAGCTTGTTGTACTTTTTGGTGCGGGGAATACTTTAAGGAATTGAGCTAGGCTGGCAAAACAAACTTGGATGGTCGCATAGTGTAGCTACATGTCCACTGTGGATTTAGAAGTCCACCGCAAAGACGAGTGAATTTTCTCAGTGTGGGCCATGACTCCCCGAAAACATCAACTTTTGCTTGGGCCGAAAATTTATATTTCAAGCCTCTTTCAGTTCATCTTTAGATAGACATTAAAATGGTAAAAGGAAAATAATATATATTCTTTTCGTTGATGGTTTGGTGTCCCCCTGACCCTTGGCTTTTTCTATTTTGTTATTTTGTACCCACATGTAGCTTTGGCTTAAGCTTACTTCAAATTGATCCAGCTTACATTTGAAGCATAGTTTTGAGTTAGCGGTACCTGCTTGCACGAATATGTTTTTGGCGCCCTTGCTAACCTACTGTTCTTGTGCGGACTTAAAGACTGTTAGTTTGTTCTCCACTTGTTTCTCAAAAACCTTACCTTTTGTCATCATGCTTATAATAAAAACATATCCTGTCCACTGTCTATAATTCCTAGGAAAGCTGTTTTCCACTGTTTGTTTTATTAGGTAGTCACTAATAATGGTGTCCTTTTATCGAAACTAGTCTAAGGCCCAGTTCATCAGTCCTGCTTCTGTCCTGCCAAACTTATGGGAGCATAGCCTGCGAAAACATCCGTTTCTCCTCGCCCTTTGCTGCTGGGGACGTTTTGCGCAGAGGAACGTCTGCGACTCAGCGACAGAAATTCCAAAATGATGACGTAAAATCTGTCCGGAATCTGGTCAGAAGTGCTGACTGGTCGACAGAGTAGTTACATTGTTGCAGTTATTGTTTACGAATGACAGACAAAAGACAAAAGGCCACAAAGGTCAAATGTAAATGCAAAGAATCTCTTACAAAACAGTCAATATTTGGGGAGGATAGTCTTCTCTAGAAGAAGCATTAAATTTTGAGTTTTGCTGGAGCTAGTTGGCAGATGAACACAACACTTTTCCAAAATTGACCACAAGACACATAAAATTGGACAAATTTACATTTGGAACCCTATGACTACCGGATTTACAGTGTATTATCTAAATATTGATTTGCGTCATCAGTATGGAATTTCTGTCGTTGAGCGGCAGACGTTCCTCCGTACGAAACGGCGCCAGGGGCAAAGAGCGAGGAGAAATGGATGTTTTTGCAGGCTAATAGGGGCACTTGCCAGGCATTTGTCATTTTGTTTTGGAAAAGTTGCAAATGCCCCACAGTGGGGCCAGATGTTCATACAAGAACCCAATGGTGGGGCTTAACAAGATGGTGCAAATGCCCCACCATGGTACAACACCAAAATTGACTATCTTATCCTATTGACTATCTTAAGTTGTCAGTCTCGGCCAGATCCTCGAAACTTGATTCACGCTTCTCGAAACCTTAGTCTCCCTTTTGACCCGTCACACAATGCTAAGGAGCATTGTGTGATGAGATAAAACCAGAGACTCGAACAAATCCCAAAAACCGAGTCTTGAGTTTCGAGAGACCAGCATTTTTTATATTCACTACTCGAAAGGATTTCAAGAGACAGATTTGGGTTGCTTTATTTTCTGTAGGTGTAGGAGCTCTGAAGTTTCTCCAGGATCGTCCATCAATCCAGGGATCTCATGTTGGCCAGAGTGTTGACTACAACTGCACAACAGATGACCCAAATGCCACAGTGTTACTTCTAAAGTCTACAGATTTTGGGTTTTCTTTTAATGTGTTTCCAGTCACACCAAACAAACTTCTTTTGACGAAACAAGTGTTTACCATAGTAAACATTGTTCTTTCGGATGGAGCACAGTATAAATGCAAGGCAACGGACCAGTCAGGTCAAACTATTCAATGGCCAACTGGTTCATTGTTATTTGTACAAGCAGGTCTGTATGAATATAATTTCCCAGTAAATTGGGGTACTCCCTATGCAGAGAGGCCCCACCTAAAAAGGGTACCTTTTTCAATGATAAATGAAAATAAAATAAAATAGTTTTTCATGCATATTATCTAAAGCCACATAAAAGCTAATCTAAAAAGACATGGTCCGATATTGATATTGTGACCAGCTGGTCACCAATGCAACTGAAAATTTAGCGTTGGCAGTCAGATTTTCAAGGCTAGTTGCCAGCAGGTGACTGACTTTCAGGTCCTTGTTTATGTTTTAAAGCAATGCTCAAGGAATTAATTTAGTGTTACATAATAACAAAAAAAAACTCCTCAATTGATTTTGCCAGAAGAAACTTAGCCCTCTTGTCGAAATTTTCAATCTCTGTAGAAAATAATGTATAGTAAAAATGAACATTCCTGTTGAATGACTTCCACAACAGTTGTAATCCATGCACTGTAGTCGACATTTATCAGCCGCCATTTGACACTGCATTGCATGAATATGCGCTGACCTTTGAGCATTGATGTCCTGGTGCTCTACAAATTTTCGAGAATGGTTTACAGTCAGACGGTCTTTATACACCGCTGAACATACATACATGTACACGATGTACCTTAGTCAAAATGTAAAAGGCAGTGACTGTTTACAAGCTAATGAAATCAATCACCACTGGGTGTTTTGAAGCAAAAAGTGCCTTGAACACTTTTTATTTCAAAGTGGTGGCATTTTACTGATAAAATATATGGTTTTTACACATACATTTGCATACAATTATCTTTTAATGCCTTTCAACCAGCAAATGAACCAACAAGTAAGGTAAATTAGTAGCATTTTACAAGTGCTTGAGAATAAGCAAACTAAAGAAGATTAACTTTCCCTTTTATTTGTTGCCTTTGTTGGTGCTGAATCATGTTAAAGAAAGTATTTTTCCTTGCAACGGACATGTACAGTAATTTGTTAAAAAGTGATGAACTATTACAGTGTATTTAATTGTCAACTTTCAACACATCAAGTTACATCAAGAGCAAATTAAATATTTGGCTTTGACTACTGAATGTCGATGATCAAAAAAGGAATTCACAATATCTGCTGAAACCACTCAGAATTCTGGCAAGACTATTGTCTTTCATGAACAAGACTTTGCTGATCCAAAGCTCTTGTTCTGTGGCAAAGGTCTGTCAAGTTATTTGTAAATTTGAGGCGATTTCCATAGACAAGTAAAAGGTGAGTTCACATGAAAAAGTGGATGGCTGGCTTATTGAAAACCCTGTTTAAGCAGACCCTTAACCAAGGGAACATCAGACATAATTTAATACACATTTAAACTGTTCTTCCAATATCATTTTCTGTAAAATGAACCCATGTTAAGTAGATGCCTCTCAGATGCTTAGTGACATTCTAATGGGTCCCCCAAGCTCCCCTCATCTTAGTTGACAGGGAGGGCTTGACACCATTTTTCATGACAATGCAGGCATGCACCTTCCCAATTTTGTCAATGTATACTTCACTGCATTCACAAGGAATGTTATATGCTGCTCCATCTTGAATTGTAAAACTTCTGTAACTATAGCTGTAAACATAACATAAATAACTTCAGATCTGAGTTGAGTTGCCCTGTTATATTATCAGACTTTTTGTTAAATACTGGAATAAGATATGAAAATTTTGCAGAGACTATAATACATGTACAGCTGTACGTATTGAAGACAGCATGTAAAGGTCTACGTGTACATATTTTTTGCAGCTCAGTTACCCAGGCATTTTGTGTTGATACCAAACAAATCAATCTATGTGCTGCAAGGGCAGAGTGGAGAAGTCACATGTGAAGCTGAAGGCCCTTCAGTTTCTACCCTGAAGTGGGAAAAGCAACAGGATGATCAATCATATGCAGCCGTCCCCAACAGTCAAGTTAACGTCACTAAAGATGCAAAGTATGTGAGAGCAACCCTGAAGATTACAAATGCCCAGTTTGCGGACGCTGGTACATACAAGTGCACGGTATCAGTTCCACCAGATAAATCGGATTATAAGCTGACAAAGATAGAAGTCAAGGGTATGTTTGTACTCTACTTCTTTGTAAAGGTTACTTTTACTGTTAGCATCTCATCATTTCTGCAATACATGGCCCAGTGGACAGCACATCAGACTCACAATGCGGTTGTTGCCGGTCCATGTCCTGCTCTGACCACTTGTTTTTGGTCTTGCCAAGATCAATTTCTTGGCTTGTTATTATCCAGCTGGTTGCCCCCTGCCAGTTGGGGTTTTCTATCCTGTTATTTTCTTTTTGCATTATTTTGCTTCTAATTATTGAGAGTGCACTGCCATAAATTAGCTGGACTTCCACTGTTAAAACAATCCAAAATACAGTATTACACTGTACATCAACTATGTGCATGTACAGTGAGTATATCACTAATGCAATGGACAAAAAGTGGTGAATGCCCATGGCCACATGATGGTCTGACAATGGCTGAGTTCTGGCACTTGACGTGGATCACTGTTCTGCTCTGTTCAAAACAACAGTTTTATAATATTACATGTATGTCAGACAAGACGAGTGCGACTCACCTTTGGAATCCTTCTGTCGACATGACGAATAAAAGTAACTTTAAGAAATGCTTGCTCGAGAGATACTTAAACATTAATGCAAGTCGCAAGCATTTTAGCATTTCAAGGACATTTTAATGTAGGTTTTTTCTTTTTTATCTTGATTGCAGTGTACTAATTTAGGTAGCTATTTTTAACCATTTTTTATGTACCCTTTAACTTCATTTTATGATATATTATTACATTTTAAAATTATTTGTAAATAGTCTTGTTATCTGTTTGGGCCCACAATGTAGACTACTGGGTTTACCAGTAATTGAGACAGCCATTAAAGTTTTATTATCATTGTTATAATATTATTAAATTAAGTGTTATTGTATATGCTGCAATTAATTGGTACTGATTATTAATTCATGTAAAATCTGTTTCATTCATACATTTAGCTCTTACAGCACCTTCAATACGTCCCTATACGGGACAAACAGAAGTGCTAGAGGATCCACCAAGGAAATCAAGTGTGTAACAGAGGGGCTCCTAAACCAACGGTAGATTGGTACAGAAATGGCAAGAAAATGAATGTCACAAACTGCCATTCAGACCCTCAGAGTTGTGATAAAGTTGACTATGAGGTTTATGAAGAAGGAGATGGTTCTTCTGGACTTCATACTATTTACACAGTTCAAGTTCTCAAAATAAGAAGTGCACTATATCCAAGGGATGTTGGTGATTTTAAATGTGTTGCATCGAATGGAGTTTTACCAGATGCTGAGTTAAGAGTGAGCTTGGATGTCCAAGGTACTTAAGCAAAGGAATACCTTTGTACTTTATGTAACCAGTAATTTGCATAATACATGTGCAATTTTTTACCCCATTTACAATTAATGATATGCTCAGAACCAACATCTAGAGCCTTAGTTCCTTTGTACAAGTGTACCAATTGTGATCCTATGTAAGTAATTTTAACTGTTAAAGACATCTTTGATGCACAACTCATTGGGAACACCTGTGAACTATTCAATCAAATCAGGCCAGAATTGATGTTAATCCTTCTCTGTACATAACTGCTCTCTTTTGAACATTTGGAAACATTGTTACCTTCCTATGCATTAATTTTTTTTACCTAAATGTTTCATGCAGGAGTGAAACCTGGTGAAAGCGTAGAAAAACAACTGTAAGCACTTATGTTTTTCGTACACTATAGCATGTACAGTGTAGAGTACAAAGTTGTATTCTGAGTGCAAACCTGTTTTCTAAGTTGAGAAAGGCAAGGAACTAATGTGAAGAGGGGGTGGGGGGGCAGTGGGGGTGTGAGAGGCTTATTTGCCGGGGATGCTTATTACCTTACAGTTACAGTCAAACCAAGTCAGCGTGCCCCCAAGATTCTATCAGTGAATTGATTATTTGAAAAAATGAATCCGTTTTTAAATAGTCGTTCCCATAAATGGTGTCAAATTCAAAGCGGCATTTCTGCATGTGTAATGAGCAGTGAATATTTTACGAGAACTTCTCGGTGTTTGGTCAGATTGGAAATCTTTGAATGGATTAAGCTTCTTAGAAGACATTTACATCAATTTCAGGAAAATGGAGCTGGTAGAAATTTCATAACTGCCTCGCGTGTGAATTCACGGCTCATTACACATACAAGAATGCAGAGATCAATCTGAAATCTACAACTAGCAACGGATTCAACTTTTGAATAATAAATTCATTAATGGATTCTTGGGAGGTACGCTTGACCTGGTTTGACTGTAAAATGTAATAAACCTTGTCTTCCTTTCAAACAAAGACATCTGTACAGCTGTAAACAGAGCACTAAAACATATCTCCAAGAAAAAAAAACCAAAGTATGGTCTTACTGATGGCATTAAGGTCCTAAAAATTCTGGTTTTGAAATGCTCTTTCTCTCCTTCTTTGTACTGGATATTAAGTTTCATTTTTTTCTTGGAGAAGGGTTGCTTGGTAAGAAACTCTTGACAACAAGATCCAACTTAGTAGATTATACATGTAAGTTAAATCAGAGGTTGATGAAGGATTATAAACATCAGAATACACAGTTAAAATTTTACAATCTTATTTGCAATATAAGATGTGCAGTCTACCCCATGAGCATCGCATCATTATGGCAACTCATTTAAGGATATCATAAATCCACTATTAAGCTCCCCAGGGGGCTTATTTTTTTCAGGCACTTTTGAGGAGGGGCTTAATAGAGACCGGGGGTGGGGGCTTATTTAATTTACCGAAATGCATCAACAGGAGCAAGGTTTCTCAAGGACGGACTTGTGTTACCGGGCGCTATACTGCTTTTTCTAACAATAAGAAAATGGCAACAATTCTCCACAGAGAACTAGAGCATAAAGTTGAAAAAGTTAGATCAGCACATGAAGTTGGAGGTCATGTGGCTGAAGACCAAAAACAATATGAATTTCCAGCGTGAATGAACCATAACTGATCAGTCCACGTTAATTGTTTGTGAAGAATAAGGATGGAGGATGGAGGGTGGAGGGGAGGGGGGGGGGGACTTAATAACTTTTCTCTGACCTCTGAAAGGGGGGGGCTTATTAGGGAGGGGGCACTTAATAGAGTATTTTTGGTACTTTATGCGCGATAGTGACATGAACTAGGCCTCAACTAACAATCTTAATTAAATGCAGTTAAGCCGACACTGAAAGAGAGATTAGATGCAGTTGCTGTGGTAGAAGACACAGAAGCTAAAGTGTCCTGTACAGTGACCAAGAGCAACCCACTGCCAACATTCAGTTGGCAGTATGCTTTCAAAAACTTGGAATGTGACATTCAACTACCTACCGGTACCTGTGTCCCTAAGGAAAACAAGTGGATTACTGTTCCTAGTCAGCTGGTGTCTCCCAGCAGCTCAACACCAACAAATGAAAGCATTGTGAATGTTGCCAAAGACCAACAAAATGCATTCTACCGCTGCCAAGCATCCAATTCCTTGGGAAATGTTTCGCAAATCTTGAGATTTGTCAGACTTGGTAAGAACATCAGTTAGTAAAAACAGTACTTTTTTGAGGTATTGAATTGTACAAAAGTGTAATAATGTGCTTTATACTAGTACAGAAAAGAGAACAGATTTTCTAGGGATGACCTGCACCTTTTCCAAACAAGTTTTGTGATTGGCTGGGAAAACAATAGGGATGGTGACATAACAATACCCCTATCCCAGAAAACAATAGGTAGTGCGAGTTATAGGCACCAATGAAAGAAGAGGTTTGGATTCGTGCAGGTCAATTGATGTTCTACTCACAGATCAAGCCATAGTTAATTGAGTGGAATGGTTATGAAACCCGTCAGACTCCTTTGTTATATGTTTTTGTGGACCTGAAAGTGCACAACGTTCAAAAGAATTCCTATCATTTTGATTGTATTGACCAATAAAAAGGTTGCATTAATTTATTCCGTAACAATTTGCCAACAGAAAACAAAGGATTGTGCAATTTCAGGGTGCTTCCAACATAAACTGCAGCACTGTTGTTTTTATCATTGATGTTTGCCACTTTTCATAGGTTGCAAATGGACAGATTAATGCTCACCTGAGGACATTTTTAGCTGCGTGTATTTTGTGCACATCTAGTTGGGCTTGGAACTGAGACACCCTATGTGATAATAATTATTATAAATTGGAAAATGTGTGTTTCCAGGCCAATCCATAAAACCGTGCTGAAAAAAATAGGCCAAAATTTTAAAGAAAGTCTTTAAGAAGGTAAGCTTGTTAAGAACTTATGCAGATCTTGGACGATGTTATCCACCTTGACCTCCAGCCTGGATGGAGAACATCCTCCTTGATCTGCATAATTCTTCATATCTTACCATTTTTAGCTGTATGTATTTTGTGCACATCTAGTTGGGATTGGAACTGAGACACCCTATTTGATAATATCAATTGAAAAATGTGTGGTTCCAGGCATATCCATAAAACCGTGCCGAAAAAATAGGCCAAAGTTTTAAAGAATGTCTTTAAGAAGGCAAGCCTGTTAAGAACTTATGCAGATCTTGGAGGATGTCATCCACCTCGACCTCCAGCCCGGGTGGATAGCATCCTCCTTGATCTGCATAATAATTATTCTTCATATCTTACCATCCTCATTTTTTTAAATAATTACATGTATTGCTAATTACCTATGATTGATCAACAGTGAAACCAGAGGCCAAGGTTGAGATTGACACTGGCAAAACTATGACCGAGGTGAACGAGAAGTCTACCTTACAGGTCTTCTGCATTGACCGGATTGATGGTGACTGGGGCCTCCTTTTCTCAAAAGATGGGGAAAAAATAGAACTAAGTGATCCACGTGTCAATGTCACCATTGAAAATCTACCGAAAGAAACTGAAAGGTTGTTCAAACTGACGATAAAGAATGTGACAATGAATGATACAGGAGAGTATGGATGCACCCTTTCTGTTTTGTTTCCAAAGCTCCTTGATGCCATCAATGTTACGGTGAAAGGTGAGTGAGCTAAGAGTGGAGATCATTAGAGTACTTTAACTAACATTTTTATCGGTAGGCCCTCTGATAGGTGCAAAAATTATTGGTAACTCATGTGAATTTTCCTGGAAGTCATATTAATAGATTTATGCAGGAAAAAGCTGTGTTACGGTCCCAGTTACTTGATTTTTATCACACTCTACGATTTCAAATCTCATGGAAAACAATTGTTCGGTTTTGTGCCCAGAGTTCAAGGGAAACTGTCTGTCACAATTTTTTGGTTCCGTGAAAATTCATGGGAACCCGCTCCTAGATGTTTTCACTTTTTTGGAGTGATTTTTTATTTCCTGGAGCTGTAATTCATAAACCGTTAATGTGCGATGCACTTTGGAAACAATTCAAGATGATGCGCAATAGACAAATAAACATTGATAGATGCTGAAGATTTAGTTTTTATGATATTTGGTATATAAGCCAAGTTATAACCAAAGAATTGATCTACTACAGTGGAACACTGTTAATTATGGTCACCTACATGTATGGAGCAAAAAAATTTTGGCCATATTAATGGGTGACCAACAAGAGTTTTTTTTACAAGAAAATGTATGGCTGTTTTGCCCGGCGTAACAAGGTGACCGTATGACTTGGATTGGCCATAAGGCAGCATTGTACTGTAGTTAAGAATCTGAGTGGAAAAATACATGTAGTGCATTTCTGTAATTTCTGTACACAAACATGCAAATGTACACTAAAGAAAACATATAATTATGGTTTGTTTAATACAGAAGTACATAGTAGAAGATTGAACATCAAACTGTATGCAGCTGTGTTTTGTTGAGTTTATCCGTAATTTCGTGTGTTGATGGAGGGAACTTGCAGCTATAGTAGCTGCAGTGGTTTAAGATCTGCTGTCAAGAATTTTTGTGGTAATAACGTGGCTGCATTTCCGAAGTTGTTGCATGTGTACATACATACATACAATGAATGATGGCATTGTCAGTGGTAGCTCTAAATAATTTGAAGGCAGGTTTCTTTGCGATAGCCATATACATTTGTATTGGCGTTAATATTTCTCGATTTGTGAAGCCAGATGGTTTGAAGAAGGTTATGGCATTGATAATTATTACCAAATGATTTGTGCAAATATTAGAAAAAACACACTGCAGAACTTACATCCTTCATCATCATTGATAGCTTTTGTAAGTTTTACGGCTAGTCCTGTTTTTATGGGCTTACTGGTATAATAAACCATAGGTTTTTGACCTATCAGATCGTGCATATCCAACTATCTCAGTAATTATAATTATGACATAATAATTATATGAAAATTAAATTTGCCTAGTAATAACCATCCATAGTTTCACACAACTGTACATTAGAGAATTCTATGTCATGTTTTTTAAAGCAAAACAATGTTAAATTAGTGTTTGTGTTTGTTGCTATTAATTTTGTTTTGTGTAATAATCATGTTGAATCATGTATTAATATTTATTTATGTCTTCATAGCTCTGAAAGCACCAAACATCACCAAAGATATACCTGATGTGACAGTTCTTCAAGAACCTCAGGGTGGTAATTTGGAGTTGTTTTGTGATGTTACTGGCAACCCAAAACCTATCATCACGTGGTACTTCTACAAAGATGGCAAAGGTGATCCCTTGGTGGTCAACAAGGAAAAACATAACCTGGGCGGGAACAAGGATGACTGCGGGAGACGGACAAAGGGTTATTACTTCTTGCAGCGTGATGATGCTCGTGCACTTGTGATTTGCACTCCAGAATTTGAACATCACCAAGGAAAGTATTCGTGTCATGCTAAGAATACAGCAGGAGAGCAGAGCAAGTCTGCATTTGTCAATGTGGAGAGTAAGTAGTTAATTGTTATTAATAGGTACAACAAGCTGGTGTGGTTGACTTTATTGGTATTTACTTTAACCACATTAAAAATTTATTAAAATGATAGCAATACTTTATTATGAAATAATAATTAAACAGTCGACTTCTGGTAACTCGAGCTTTCAAGGGAAGTATAAATCAGTTATTGCAAGTTCAAGCTATCGGGAGCTCCAAGCAAAACCTAAATTTGTATTAGTACTTTATTCATGTATGGATTTGAAGACTTTGCAATCCCTTGCATCTTACTGATGGCTTGTCCCACACTGAGCTTAGATCAAGCTCTATTTGCATATTGCTTGGTAAATATATTTCTGGTGGTCAAGGCAAATCTAAGTCTCGCATCTAGTAGGATACACATGTCTATCTGAATTACTTGTGTTTATGAACAACCTTGCATTCACATGATTACCTCAGGGACATCAGATGGACCTTAAACTCAACACCAGGGCCTTTGCTGCTCACATACCATGCACATAAATGGTCTAAGAAAGGCATTCCAAGAATGTGAACAGATTTTGCTAAAACCCCACTACAGTCGCAACTCCACTGCCACCTCTTCACAACACCCTTCTCTCTACATTAGTGGACTGTCCATACAGTGGAACCCCACCTTACGACCATCTCATTATTACGACCCTATTCTTTGTACCCAAACATTAGAATCACGGAGTCATTTTATTATTTTGAAGACCCCATTAACACCACCACCTCGTTATCACGACCAGGATTTTATGGCCCAACGGTTGTTGCATTAACAGGGTTCTACTGTACATCGTGTCAAGTCTTGTTTAATGCATTGTCGCCCAGGAATTTTTACTGTTTCGAGTGATTTTCTATAAAGTAAATCAAGTCAAGGACTAAAATTTTAATATTACTGTGAATGTTGACTTTTGGTTTTGCAATGTTGATTTCTGTAAAAATCCCGAAGGCAAAAAACGTGATTTTTGTCGTTTTTCTATGACTTTAAAGGGTGCTCATTTCTGTTCTTGTCCAAATTCAAAAGGTGATATGTCAAAAGCACTGACTTTTTTGTGTTTCTTTTATATCCCCATTTAAAGGACATTATACTCAATGTTCACAACTGACAGTTAAGACAATGTTTGCATGATTGAGAAAGTTGCAATGTTTTAAAGCAGTGTAGTCTTGTACGGCCAGTGTTAGCTGGCACGGCCGTCAGTGGGTTAAACCTCTGTACAACATCCATCTCCTTACAGTGACCACTTTCTTCTGTCCCCAAAGTGGCCATGGATGACAAGTTTAACTGTATACCAATTACAAATTGTTGCTGGCCACCCCACCAATATAATATTATTATGTCAGTGGGCTCACTTTTGCTCGGCGGTAATAAATGTTTCCAAAAAACAGTAGCTGTTTGTTTGTTGTAGTATCTATCTATTTTTCTATCTATCTGTCTGTCTGTCTGTCTGTCTGTCTGTCTGTCTGTCTGTCTGTCTGTCTGTCTGTCTGTCTGTCTATCTATCTATCTATATAATTCAATGTGGAGTAAACATAAAGTTTTTGTTGTCATTGTTGATTCTTTTTCTTTTTGACAGTGGCACCAGTCATAGTTGAACCTAAGAAAGATGAAGTACCTCTTTCACTCAAGATTGGTGATCCACTGAACAAAAGCTGTGTGGCGAAAGGGAACCCTGCTCCTAATGTCACATGGTTACATAATAACACAGGAAAGGCGGTCTCACCAACTTCAACCAACTCCCAGCAATTAATCATTAACTCGATAGAAGAGAAGGATTTTGGTTTTTACACCTGCATTGCCAGTAATAAATTGAAACGTACAATGGTTTCTATTGAAACCAAGGAAGGTAAATTTATTTCACATGTTGATACATAGTGCATGCTTGGCTTTGAATGCTGGAGGCCAGGGTTTACTCCGCCTTGCACAAGCATGATCCCTGGCTACTTTCATTTGAAACATAAGGGAAATAGAATGAAATGAAAATCTTAGATGTTCAATTCCATGTAACACAACAACAATGCAGCCAAGTTACAAGGTGTCATTAATACATTATTTTTTTATTGCTGGATGATTGACATCATCAGCTGCCTAATATATTTTTGCTATTGTTATGGGACAACTGACTGAAATCTTTTAAATTTGGTCAGTGTAATTCATACGGTAAAAAAACTTGCATTGTGTTTAGACTTTTAATCATAACTATAACAAAATTATTGTCAAATCTGATTGGCTATCAACTGCCCTGATTTCAGCCTTACTTAGACAGTTTGAAAGGACAGGACGCGTCATGCGTAAGTAATTGGACAGTACGCGCCATCACGCACGTGCTTAAATGGCTTTTTTTTTCACTGCTAGCAAAACAAAATTTCGAATTTCTTGTGTTTTGATTTAAAAAATGGCCTATTATATCACAAATTTTGTTAAAGTTATGATTAATTGGTAACAGAACTTTGTGTCGTCCAATTCGGTCTGTAATCATACTAGTGATTAAACAAATCGGACTCCCGCTACGCAGTCGTCCGATTTTGTTAATCACTCGTATGATTACAGACCGAATTGGACTCCACTCAGTCCTGTTACCATTACAATTAATTCTGATTTTGTATGGTTATGGAAAGTTATTTGGATGATTTCAGGGGGGAGACAGGGTCCAATCATTAGCCCCATTGCAAAATCCTGTAGTCAGTGGCCCGGGGCTATTGTACACAACTCTTATTTAACGCTGGGAGAAGGAATGGCTAACCGATAAGAAAACTGGACACCCTTCCCAGGCCCCTAGTTCCAGTGCCTCCCTGATTGCTTGTGGGAATTGTTCTTGGTAGTTGTGAGGTCAAATCATCGCACCCATGCTTGTAAAACAGTTGATAGGTTTGCCTCCTATTAGTTGGATTTTCAACGTTTTTATGTGGAAAGTTCCATTTGAAGTATTATTTTGTCTCATTATCTCTGAAAAGCCCCATAACAGTTTTTTGTTTTCATTGATGAGAAACATCTTGAAATGAATGATGAATTTTTTCTACTTCTCCAGAGAGATTACTTGGTTATACTGTTGGTGGTGGCCTAAGTACTGGTACGCTGGTGGGCATTGCTATTGGTGTGAGTGTGTTTGTTCTCATCGTGCTAGTGGTGTGCTGTTGTCTTTACCATCGGCAGAAGAAGCAGATAGATGAGTATAAGCAGCTTTATTTCCTGCAGACATCATCAGACTACAAGGTATATTCCTCTCTATAATATTGTCCATGTACTTTCACTTTGTTCTCAGGTTTGGCTACTAAGCTTGCGCGGTATTTGGCGTGAAACACCGTTTATTGTATTTATTGAACAGTTCATTCGTTTGAAAAAGACAGTCTTCCTGAAGGAGCCAAATCCCCAAATGTCCTGTGTGCAATATACCAGTGCTTTTTTCATGAAAGTCACAGTTGTGTAGTATGTACGTGTACCCTCTTTAGAGAAAATGCTTCATTCCTAACCCACCTACCTACCTACCCACCTACCTGCCTGCCCATCAACCTACTTACCCACCAACCTACCTACCCTCCTACCTGCATGCCCATCAACCCACCTACCCACCTACCTGCCTACCTACCTACTTGCCTACTTACCTACGTACCCGCCCACCCACCAACCTTCCTACCTACCTACTTACCTTCCGACCTACCTACCTACCTACCTACCTATTTATCTACCTGCCTGCCAATATTTAGCTGGAGCGTTTTCACGAGCTGACCACCATTTTTCTTGTGAGACGTGCTCTAGGACATTAACAGGCATATTTTGTATCAGCCTTATGCGAGAACAATGTGTCATGTTTTAGATTGACCCAGATCGCAGTCTGCTGGAACAGTGTAATAATCTACCTTATGACCCAGACTGGGAATTTCCTGAAGAAAGACTCATCCTTGGAAATGTGCTTGGTGCTGGAGCTTTTGGACAAGTTGTTAAAGCAGAAGCCATTGGTATCTTGGCGCTCAATCCTCGAGACAAGAGCGCAGAATCTTTTAAGCGACGCTCAAAGATCCGTCGGTCTTCACGAGCAAAGGACCTGAAAAAAGAAGATGGTGGCTCGGGATGGAAGAATGTTAAAGTCCCTGTCGCAGTCAAAACCTTAAAAGGTTGGTGATTCTTTTTGCGTGCTCCTCGAACGAAACAAGGAAAAAACGTAAAATAGGAAAATAGAAAGTGAAAACAGGAAGGGTTTCAGCTCCTACGAGTGGGGATTTTTAACCATGTTGTGTACCATTTGTTCAGTTACATTATTTGTTTCATTATCCTTGAAAAGCCCCAGAGGGGGAGAGAATAATTAAAGTGTTATTATTATTATTATTATTATTATTATTATTATTATTATTATTATTATTATTATTATTAAAGTAATTGAAATTTTAACGAATATTTCCACACAACATGGTTTGTTCTTAATTCGTTTTGTTTTGTTGTTGTAGAGGGTGCCACACAGGCAGAGTACAAGGATTTGGCTTCAGAACTCAAGATACTCATTCATCTTGGACAGCACAAGAACATTATCAATCTTCTCGGAGCCTGTACAAAGGGAAAACGCCTAATGGTGATCATGGAGTTTGCTCCACATGGCAGCTTACTGAGCTTTCTTAGAGGGAGAAGAGATACATTTGACGCGAGTTGGACTAAAACCATGAACGAGCCAGAGAAGGAGTTCACTTTAGTAGATTTAGTGATGATAGGTTTCCAAGTTGGTCGAGGAATGTCATTTTTGGCGTCCAAAAGGGTAAGAGATGTATTGTAGTAACAAATATTGCTATATAGCTAGAATTTTTCGCCGACAGCGCTAGCTAGTATTGCATGGCTTCTTCGAGGTCACTTATCTTTCACTGCGCCTTTATTTTTTTTTCGCCTTCTTGTTTTCAGTGGATGTTTCCTCAAAAATTAATGAGGATGACCCGCTGGTCTCTGGTTTTAAGGCCGGTTACCCAATACTATTTGTCAGCGCGATTTCTCGATTTCTCTCGTTTTTTTCGCGGTATAGTTTATAGGGCTGATCTTTTTGTCCGAAGTAAAATGCCTCGATAGAAATTGACCTTAAGCTAAACCATTTGTGAAATCTTTCCCAGGGGCAGCCCAACAAATAAAATCTGATCGCACTCCGTGTGTGAGCACTTCTCATACCTGAACACTCCCTGTAATCCTCACCGAAACGTCGCCCGCGGCAATGAGCGAGGTGAGACGGTTATATTCGCCGGCTGCGCTTGTAAGGGGCCTTCTACCGAAAATACAAGGCAAAGCACCATAGTTAGAACCCTTCCCAAAGGACTATCGCTCTTAAACAATCCGACCACATTATAGGATCGTGGTTTCAAGATTTCTGTTGTTTTCATCCTCCAAGTAACGACGTGATACTTGTTCCAATCTCCTACGAGTGTCAGTTGGATAATGCAACTCCGCGGATCCTTAATAAGACAACGAGTTTTCTCCGCCCACCACGTCGTTCTTATTCTACGATCGCCTCATGTAGATTCGAGGTATTTTAATTCACGAATGGCTTTGCGCGTATTGTAATTTGAGAATCAATTACGCAGATTTGTCAGATAGGCTCTTGGTAGCACTGTATCATGGTCTACCCTGTTCTGGGCGTTCAGACTGTAGGTACGACGCTCGGAAATGTGAGAACAAAAAAATAGCGAGCCACTCTCCACGATCTGAGCCCCTGTAACAGGCTGTTATGTTCCCCCTCTCGTAAGTGACCGTTCATAATCGACCGAGTCTTGGCGCTTTTGTTTCTCCCTGACGGAGGTTCAACTGTATTTGAATTGTTTCTAAACCTTACCTTGGGTTGCACTTTTTTCTTCAGTGCGTTCATCGCGACTTGGCTGCAAGGAACATTTTAGTGGGGGATGATTATGTTATGAAGATAGCTGACTTTGGTCTGGCGAGAGACATCTATAAAGATGATCAGTATGTCAAGAATACGCAAGGCTTGCTTCCCGTAAAGTGGATGGCTCCCGAGTCGTTGTTTGACAGAGTTTATACTGAGAAAACTGATGTGTAAGTACACAAGGTTTTAATTCCATTTTAGTTAATTTCTCCACCTCCATTAATTTTTATAAATTGTGAAAATTCGAGAGAAGCCTGCGAACACCCGCTCTGTCTTTAGACCAGCGCTCTACTAACTGAACTACAGTGGAACCTCGATAAAACGAACCTTTATATGACGAAGTCTTCGGTATAACGAACGATTTGCTTTGCCCCAGTAATAGTAAGATATATCAGAAAGAACCTTGTTATATCGAAACCTCGTTATAGCGAACAAATTTTGCCAGTCCCTGGGCCCTTCGTTATATCGAGGTTCCGCTTCAATCCTACCGTGGCTGAAAAATTCAAGGAAAAAACAAACAAACAAACAAGCACAGAAACAAATCCTCCCATGAATCGACGAGCAAATGTAAGGATCAATTTTTCGTGAGGACGTAAAATAATAGTAAAAATTATCTGCTTTTGTTAAAAAAATTCCCTTTTGAAGCTTTTTTTTTGTCCTTTAAAGTCTTACTTAACAATTTTGGGCTGAAAAGACAGGTATTGATCTTGGTCATGGTTATTCTTATCAACAGATGGTCATTTGGAATCCTCTTGTGGGAAACGTTTACCCTTGGGGGTACCCCTTACCCTGGCCTCCCGACAGACCAACTTCTAGACTATCTTAGTGATGGCAAGAGAATGGACATGCCAGCCAAGTGCCCTCTGGAAGTTTACACTGTCATGAGAGATTGCTGGATTCATGAACCTGAACAAAGACCCCATTTTACAACCTTGACAGAAAGACTTGCTAATATATTGGAGAAGCACACGACAACGGTATGCATTAATATACCGATGGACTTACCTTGTTCCCGGGGGGTAGGGGGATACTCAGCTAAGTTTTATACGATGAGGCTCCGCGTCGAGGCCAGCCCCGTACCTTTTATATACCTATACCTTTTTTGGCAGAAAAGGAACCCCGTTCGTATACTTTCTATTGACAGATGGTACACATTCTATATACCTAGTGTACAACTTTGTATCCCTTTTAACTGCTGTAAATTTTCTCTTTTTTAATGAATGTTAGGTGAATGAATCACATAACCAGAACATTTTCTTCACTTTTTCACAGATTTTCATACCCACACATATACCTGAAACCTGAAAACGGTGACCGTTTCCGGTGGATCCTCCCCTCTAAATCCTTTGTAAAATTTTCGATGTGTTCATATGAGAGGGCCGGCTGGCTTGGTTCCCGAGATCTTGGTAAGCTAGCCCGCGAACCGCAGACGTATTTCCAGTCGTCGCTTCTCGGTGAAACTAAAGCCGAAAAAACCGGATCCTCTCGCAGGCTATGGGTAAGCGGGCTGGAAATTTTGCCATATGAACACTTCATCCCGGTTACCGGGATGAACGGCGGGATGAATTCTGGCGGTCCGGAGGGCATCGTCCTGGATTGCCTGCTGTATTTTCCACATCATAAACATTCCATTTAACTGCACAGTGCAGTTCTCGGAAACCCGGGCTGAAATTCCTCATATGAACACAAGGCGAAATTCGTCCCGGTAACCCAGCCAGCCCGGTCAACCAGGCTCATGTGAAGAGGCCCTGAATTACTCAACGACTGACTGACTCACTGAATTAACGACTGACTGACTGAACACACTGACTGAATGACTGACTGACTGACTGACTTACCGACGCTGTTAAGTTCACCTGCCAAAATCAATATTGGTTTATGTAGAATGCAAACAGCTTCCCTTGCTCCTTAAGATTTCAGAACTTAGAGAAGCACCAACTGTACCAGCAGCAACTTATACGGCAACAATAAGAGTACAGGACCGTCTTTGTACAACCCTTCAAACGTCCTAACGCCAACCTTTGCAACGGCTGCTGGACTTCCTGTGCCACAGTAGTTCCTCTCTTGATTTTTTATTTGTTTGTCTTATAGGATAACCCTTATTTAGCACTCCAAATGGACGAGGAGGTTCAACCTAGCTCAGGTTACTATCTTCAGCCAGTTGATAATGCAGGCGTTCGGGATTCCAAACGATACGTGCAATCCCCACTGCAGACTCCCACAAGTGACACAGAAGAACCCCCACAATTTGGAGACTTGGAAGGAGATGGAAAGAGGTGTGTTTTCTATGCTATACCACTACATGAGAAATTTCTGCAATTTGATTGGCTTACAGCAGTGGTATTTCATCTTAATTTGAAATACCTATATGTGAAAATTACAAACCTTTTGCGGGTAGTAGTATAAACGAATAATAGCATAATTTTTACGTGATATTTGGCATAAATACCGCTTGTGATATTTCAAAATTGTCTCCAATATCACTTGCCTACCGGCTCGTGAAATTACGTATAACAATTTTGAAATATCACTCGTGGTATTTATGTCAAATACCACTACTAATCATGCTATTACCTATACATATTTCTGTTAGGTAACTATTTATCTCCACAATTCGCGTATTTCGTGTGTCTCTCGGGATACCTTCTGTTTAAAACGCATAGGGGTAACAAATGAGAATTTGAATTTTGATGTTAGGGTTAAAAGGGTTAAGGTTTGTGTGAATTTCAGCTTTAGCTTATCGTTTCTAGTCTAGTCTGGGCTGGATTATATTATCCTCTAATTCAAATTTTAAAACGTATATAATCGTCTCAAATGCAGCGTAGTTAAATGAATTTACAGCCGAACGAACGGTAACTTTGGTAAACCTAGGGGAGGGGCCGTGGGAACCGGGTCTTTACGTAATATTTAGGCAAAGCTGAATCCGCAGGGATGAGAAAAGATATATTGGATGAGCACGCCCTCCATCCCTCCATCGCAACCCACCCCATCACTTACTTGAAGATCTAAATCTGTCACTGGTTAAAAATTGTAGATATCTTCATTTCAGGTATGATTCTCCATTGCCCACTTTGCCACCAGGCCTGCCGGCCTTGAGCGACGATGAAATTCCTAAGGAACCACTGCCTCCCCTCCCCCCTCCCTATGAAAACGACATTATGGACAAAGGGAGGTTCCCTGAAAGGGCAGACAGCGCTGGAGGGGAGAGTGGAATTGACATGGACGGAGCAGATGATGGTTATGTGGAAGATACACGAGCTGATACGCCATTCCTCCCCCCTCCTGGCAATAAGCCGGTCGCTATTGACATGGAGAAAGCACCTGAACCAAAAGTGCTGTTTAAGGGCAACAGGAACAAGATCGAGACTTCACTGTGAGTTTTGAAAGTCCGATATAGTCCCAATGTTGACGGCAGTGCTGGAACTCCCATGGTGCTCTAAAGACGACTGTAGGGGAACGACGCTACTTGTCAAGGGATTTTTCATTCGGCCGTCAGGATAGACGGAATTATTACTAACAGGAAAATTAAAAGGAAATGTGCATTGGACAACGCGAAACGCAAACGTAGTTAACTTATTCAGGATAAGCAATGCATAATTCAGCACAGTAATGCATAATATGAATGTATATCGAAGGGGCGAGGCAAGGCACTAACTAGGCGAGGTAATTAGATAGATAAGCAGTTTATCGGCTCTATCACGCTTACGGATCTAAATGTCATTTTATCTGTTGAAAACTTAAGAGGAAAACAACTACAAAATACCAATATTTCTTTCATAATGTTTGAAACTTTCGCGTGTCGCATGACGTTGTCGATGTCTTATGGCCCAGATGAGCTACATAGCTATTTAGCTTAATTTGCTACTTAAAAAACGAGAAAGAAACTGCAAAAGAAATTTGAAACGAGGAAAAAAAAATTGCCTTCGGGCCCGAAAAGTTTTCGCGCCTTTTGAGAAACGGGCATCTGGGCCAAGTTAACTTCAGCAAAGAATGTGGGATTGTTACTGGGGACAAGAAAAAAATGGCTGGCGCGTCCCCAGTAACATTCCCAGAGGTCTTTGCAAAAGCTAACTCGCCCCAGTTTCCCTCTCGTTTCTTAAGTGACGAATTGATTCGCAAATTATTACCGACGGTAGTCAGAGCAAAACGCACAAGTTGAGGGTCCAATTTATCCAAATTATAATTTCTAGTTGTACAATTATTTACCACTCTTTCCACCGTTCCCTCTCTAGTGTCTAGGCTTCTGTATATACAATTTCCCGTCTTGTTGACGAGTATAATACTGTTAACTTGTTTTAAAATATTTAAGGGTTAGCAGGGCTGTGCTCTAGCAGAGCCCGGTGGCCCATGGCGCCCAACTTTTGCACTTGGGCGACTAGAAAATCAAAGATCTTTTTATACAAATCATATACAGGGCACCCTAGGTTTTACAGGTTCAGAGCACTGGGCTCCCTTCAATTTTCCTTAGAGCACAGCCTTGGTTAGAGGCTGGCGGGGGTGTTTTGCTTGTAAATAATCGCTCGCACTGACTGTAGCATTTTTAGTATTCCCAACTGAGACCTTTGAATAGCAAAAGCAACTATTTTTACTCTAACAACAATGTAAGGAGCAACAAGAAGTCAAAGACATGTTTAAATAGCTTCGTAAAGAATCAAAATCAAAGAAAGGATGAGATCATACACAACGTTCAATTTACTCTTCAACAGTCATAAAGCGATCCGATGGGGAGTCTTGAAAGTCTTTCTTCATTGGCTGTAACACGGCCCAATCAGCTTCCGGAATCTCACGCACATCAGGAAGTGTGAATATTAAATATATAGTTATGAATTTTAGGCAGGTATTTTTAACTGAATTTTGCAGAATATTCTGAAGTAATGCAAACAATACTGTAAGCATAATGCATTGTAGAAGGGCAGTTTTTATAGAATAGAGGATAATTAATTGTTCACTTACGCTTGGATTCGTAAGAACGATATTATAGGGAAAATATAAAAGGAAAACAGCAAATATCTACTGACCAAACAAAGAAACAAATTTAATTTGTTTCTTTAAAATGCTTAACAGCTTGAATTTAACTCTATTTTTAAATATCGATTTAATTTGTTATTGTTTATAGCATATCTTGTTATAACGTGGAGCCGACTGTGAATAAATTTGTGTTTAGATAAAATATATTTGAGTTTCTGATTGAACCTAATCTGGCAGAGCCTTCGTTACTCTTGTCCAGCGGAACGTGCATGATTCATTGGTGCTATAACAAAAAGAAACGAATACACACGAGCAAGTGAAAGCAGCCATCGAATGACTTTGTAACGGGCTGTTGCTCATTTAATCTCACTCAAGATTACTTTTTACCCAGTGAAGGAAGCTAAGCTGAAGGCTGTGCGTAAGGTCCGCAACAAGGATCTTGTGCTTTCCGTATGGGTCACGATTTTTTTTGCTTGGATGGCACTTCTCGGACAGTTTCATCATATTGAAATTAAAGCTGCTTTCACATTGAAAACAACTGAATGGTCCTCGGGCTGTTGCTTGATCTCTTACCCATCTTAAAGGGACTCACGCGAAAAAGACAAACAAAGCCAGACTCTCCCAACAGCGTGGGCGGCGCATCTCAGCCACCTTGAAGTACCTAGAGAAGTTTAGTCAGCAATTCCGATCAAGGAGGTAGCAGTCTTGCAGAGGTTTAAGTTCTTCTCTTGAGCTACGTTCCGTGAGGTCACTGAGAGAGTTTGATATGGTCAGGAGCACCAGCAGCAGGCGCGTAGGTGGTGTTCGCCGTGTATCGCGATGTGTTGATATAGACTTTCAAAAGACTGAAAATAATATCTTACTCTGTCAGTGTTCTGAACGCCTGGACCAGGCTATGACAGTGTACAATATTAGAATTTACGCCTTGTCTATACGGTGAAGTTCTGCGGAACAAGCTGCATGCTCAGTGTCATCACTAATAAGCGGCTGAAATCGTCAAACTCCTCTTGTTACTGTGCAAGACAAAAGCATCTTTAGAAGCAGACTCGTCAACTGGATCATGTACGTATGACAACCGAAGACCAGCGCTGGCGAGTAGACGCAGCCCCACAACGAGATCCTGTTCCCTGAGGTATATTTCAGTCGTGAAGAGGCTGATACGATTATGGTAGCCTGAGTATCAGGCCTTCCTAAGGGGCTAGGGGAGAGGAGATTTTAGATTGGGGAGGGGGGAGGGGAAAAATAAGTTTCTCTCCTTCAGCTCTCTCCCTTTTTCGCTTCCATCTTTCCCCTTTTCCCCCAGAAACGCCTGATACTCAGGTTACGCGTGTGGTTCTTCATGCCTGGCACGCGCCTGGAATCACGTGCTTGGCGCGGACACTGATTTCTTCAATTGTCTAAAGGCTTCCTCATAGCTAAACTTGACTTTGAAAAGTGCTAAGTGAAAAAGGAAAGAGGCACGACATCCAGAATAATTAAAATTATGCAACTCGGCTCAGGCATTTTCATCCTTTGACTCCGCACGCAAAGGGCCCTTATCGGCTTAAACTCTAGGCGATCACAGGCTGTGATGACACCTCTGCCTTCTTTGGTAAAGGAAAGTGGAAAGCAGTATTGCTTCCCCAACACAATGAAGGGTACGTCCGAGCTATGATGAGTATCGGGGAGGAGTGATGAGAATACGTCGACACCTTTCAATTAAAGGTACGGAAGCACTCGTGCTATGTGGCAACTATACTAAAAGAAGTGTCATATTGCGGATGTGCTGAATACGAGATCCACCACGGTAAACTGACAGGAAAGTCAAACTAGAGAGTTTGCCCCATGAGAGTCATCTTTACAAGATCGCAAAAGCAATTATCAATTCGTAGTATGAAGGGCCACTGTTATGCTCCCCTCATCGGCACGTTGAATAGAGTATGCATATAGCTCTGACGTCGTGCCGTTTGTGCAGCTTGTATGGGGGAGCGTTGCGTGACATCCAAAAAACGGCTGCGAGGGAGACTAGTACCTAAGCCGGTTCCTGAAGAAAATGACTCTCCTCTACGTGCAGGAAAGCATAAACTACAATTACCTTCTACTCTAAGAATGTAAAGTATGGACACAGATAAGTACTTCTGCGCGTAAAGCAGAAAGATAGTTGTTACTTTTGTCGTCTTTTTTATTGTCTTTTTTCAGGTTCGATAGCAGTTGAATGCACTAATGCCAAAGGCAAAATGGCAGTCACTGTGACGTTATTATATGACGTCATCTTTTCTAGACTAACTGTAACAATCCTAAAATAATATCTCTGGCATAATTTTTTCAAATAAACTTCAAAACAAAAATCGCGTATTTTTTAAGAGGAAATCGAAGGTTTCTTTTTAAATCCAAGATGGCGGCCAAAAAAAGGGTATGAAGGGCGAATTTAAAATTCGGTTTACAAAGTGAAAGCTTCCGCTCTGTCCTTGCTATCATGCATTTTTGTGATACTTTTTACACAAAGATTAAGATTATACAAGTTTTGTTTGTTCTCTTTAAGTGAGCCATAAGACCCTCCTAGCTAATGGACTGTTATGTCACAGTAACACATCTACTTTATTACTCTTCAACGTTTTACACATCAAGAAGAGTTAAGAGATATAAAAATATAATGTTTCTTTATACGCTGGCTTGATTATTTCAGAATATACTAATTAATTTTACAAGCACTCACGTTACGCATGCATACCTGCATTACGAGCTATAATTAATTCAATTGGATGAAATATCT